GCCAAGAGGTCGTCGAGTGTTTCCGAGAGACGTTTTAAGGACCCGCGTGCTCGCATCTCCTCTCTCTCTCCCATCTTGGGGAGCGAGCCCCGAGCTCGCTAAAAGTACCGAAGACAAGCTCGCTCATTATTCAGGAAATTATCAGATAAAGAGTGGCTCGTTATCGAACATTCGAGTTATTCGGCGAAAATTCGTCTCGTATTAAAATCGCGCCACTTCTGCTGAAGGAGCGATGCGACGATAAACTCGAGCAAATCGACCGATGGAATCAATGTTGCTATTATCTACTCCGACACAGTCCCGACATTGGACATTTCTAATCGAGCATAAAGACCGTGGCTCGTTGCTGGAACGGGCAAAAAGGAATCGCGGCGTCAACACAGCCAAGCCGGTGGCAGATATTGCGGCGGATATGTCCGCGAGGATGGAGTCGTTTTAGGGGGGAAATGCGAAAAACCATCGGAAGAAAGAACAAAACGAGAACGGCGGGTCGCCGCGCGATGGTAGAAACAATTCGCTCCGGGCAATGTTCCGGAAAGAAGGGAAGAAGTTTCAGTTGTCACGACAGAAATACTGGGCCGTTACACGTCTCCCGGTTCGTGGCGGAATCCTTTTTCAAAAATGTGTCTGCGATCGTTGACAATGTAGACTGCTGCAGCAGATCTGTTCTTTTTGACTGCGCTTTTTCACGCCTTCTTTCACTTTCGTGCGAAGCGAGCGTGTGTTCACGCTCCGGTGGGGAAAAGAAGGGAGACAACAAAGGGTTCGCGTTACGAAACAGTCAGAAGGAACAGATTCGAAATAATACGTAACGCGTATGTCGCGTTATCCGTTATCGCAAATACGGACATTTTGGCGATTCCGCGATAACCGACGAGATTACTTTCTGAGATGACCGGCGGTATTTCCGTCGAGGTGATCGCGCCCGAAAATCGACGGATATCCCCGGATACGCCCGGACCCGACGTCGGTCGGAAAACGCAAAATAACATGCGGAGCAAACTGGCCGGGGGCTATATTCCCGGCCTGAGTAACATAGTTAGTCGAGCGCGAGTCGAGGGAGGGAGGGTGGATAGGCAGGGTCAGAGTGGAGGCCATCGGGGAATAGAGACAGCGAGTAAGGGCGTCAGACGGGCGGATAGGGGAAGGGTTGTGGAAGTACACTCGTGTCGAGAGGAGATTCTGAGTGCTCTCTCGAGAGATGGTTGTGGCTAGAACGAGACACGCCGAGCGAGACGTCGGAGGAAAGCTAGGGAAGCGCGCGAGAATAAGGGCGAGAGAGGAGAGAAACGAAAGGCGGGAGAGAGAAGTTTGAAGGAGTACCGGGGAGGGAGGGGTAGGGCGAGAGGAGAGGACGCGTCTTCGTCA